ATATAAAGTAGCACAAGCGAAGAAGTAGAAGGGAGTAAAAAATAAAGAAAAATAGATACGAAGAAAAGTTGATCTCACCTGGAACGTTGGGATGATAAGTAAGCCTTTGAAATCCACACCAGGAAAAACATTTGGCATCTCCTTTCGCATTCGTTGGGGTGCATCATGTACAGAATATTCTATGCCATTTGCGTAAAACTTTTCTTCTGTTACAATGTGCGACTTCCTCTTGACTGGTTGCTGTTCTCCTATAATCGGCTGCATAGTGGAGCTGATTAACCCAATTGGTGGATGCATGGTGATTATCCTTCAGTGTTTCGTACAAAGGTGATTATCCTTCAGTGTTTCGTACACAGGTGATTATCCTTCAGTGTTTCGTACAAGCGTTTCGAATGTTCGAAAGTACACTACGTGAGTCACTAGCGGTAAAACAACTAGAACATAGATTGTAGACACTTCTTAAACAGCGAGCGCGAAATCTTCCTGTGTCCAGCTGTGGCTGTGTAACCTTTCAAGGTATAAATTTGTTGAATGTACTGAACAGTTAAAGATATACAAGTACTAAATGAATTGCAGGTAAGTGCATTATATAGTAAAGCACAAAATCACTACGATGGCGATTGTGAAATAATTTGACCCATGCAGCACTGATTGTCTTTTTACTTTTTAGAAGGCTATGCACTGACGTCATGATGATGATGAATTGTCTACAATGTATTTATTTTAGAAATCAGTAGAGACTGAGAGAGTCCGATTTATAATTTTAACAAAATAGCCGCTCTCTCAGACTCTCTCTTTAAAGTTCTTTCACTAAATTTATTTTTTCTTTTTTTTTTTAAAACAAAATTTACTACAGAGTAAGTAGTAGTATAGAGGTATGTATAGAGTTTTACTTTTTAGAAACATGTAGCATCGCAATTGGCAACCGCTAACCAGAGAGTAGCAGAGAGGTTGCCAATATTGGCAATATATTAGGAATGCATACATAAAAATACACTGGCGATCGCGAGCCTGCGAGGCCGCTACCCCCCTATTCTAGAGTAGACCTGGGCCCCAGGCCTTGGGCCCCTGGCCCTGGCGCCTGGGCAGCGAGCCTGGCATACTGACCCTGGTGATTGCTCTGATTGGAGATATTTTTAACACCCCATCCATAGACTAAGGGGACTCGATTTTAAAGAACCAACCCTAATTCACTATATCCGGTTTTGGATATAATCCCATTTTTATTTTCTAGACTTTTTCTAAAAGCATTTCAAAAGAATTTTGCGAAGGAGCCAAGTTGATAGCTCTACTGGTTCATACAGTTATGTATCGATTTATGAACAGGATTGTGCACTTTTCGACCATGTCAATTCTTGGATTTCCAGGTCGCGTATTAGCAGTTTGAACCTTCTAAGGGTTCTAATATATAATAAATACAAGTAATATTAGTTCAGAAATCATCTTTGTGGTATAGAAGGCCTATTATGCTTGCTCAAAATCACCATTTACGTGCATGCGTGTCCATCAATGACATCCATTTGGTGTGCATATTCAATTATATGTCTTCAATATGATTTTCAGATCTTCATTATATCTATATAAGCCTATTTAAGCATAATTAAACCATAATAATGTTTTTGTAATCGTTTGTAGGTGAATAAGTAGTGAATTTTGGCAAAAAGTTCAGGAAATGAGATGCATTGTGCAATCGATGGCATGGCACATCAAATGACGTAAACACACATTTTCTCGATTTTAGCAGCTGTACCTTGCATTACGGTTATAAGAATGCATATACGATATTGTTTTGACAATAATTGTACGTGACAACTTTGAAACTTCACTAATTATGCATATTTAGACCCAATAATCGCGTTTCGGAGGTTTCCGATGTAGTCTTAGACTCCTAAGCATAGGTGTTATACTTGTACTACGGCCTTGACGCCTTCACAGATCATTTACGAAATACTTAATCTTGAAATATGCCAAAAAAAAAAAATTGGGAATAAATTGAAGTCCAGATTTAGTAAATCAGGAACGCTTCTTTATTTTTGGCCCTATTTTATCCCCTTCGCAGCGACAGTACTGAGTACACCCAGGGCCAGGGGCCCACAGCCCCACTACCCCCAACGGGGCCCACACTGACCCACAAGAAGTCAACCTATAAGAGGCTACATCTGCCCTCGTTTCACATTTGACTGCGATAGCCTGACAGGGGTGAGGGCCCGAGGGGGCTGTCAGGCGTCAACTTCAGCCTTAGTCCTGCAGTCTAGGTCATACCTATTTGGTTATTTCCTGGCGGCTGAGGGGATACTTCTTAAAACCAATGAAAATGCTGGCTAATGACAGTCACTGGGCTTACTACCTGCTGGCCCTTTCTAGGGAGTAATGGACTAATGGGGCCGGAGTAGAAACTAGAAACTTATTTTAAAACATCGAAAAACTAGAAGCAAATGATGACTATGAAATGACGTTTATACTTTGGGTTTGCAGCCAGCCTGTACGTTCGAGAAGTCATTTTTATTATGGTCAGCCAGCCTCGGCCAGCCTCACAGGCCCTCAGTCACAGCTGCAGCCTGCAGGCCTAAACTCTTGAATCCCAAGTCCTGAGTCAGGCTGAGTCCTATGTATTTTGATTTTGCGTTTTCGTATCAGTTCGGAGTTTCGGGTTGGCCCCAGGGTGCTTTGGACAGGCTATGAGATAAATGATTGATGGATCTTAGTCTAAAAACTTTGCCGCGTCTTGATATGATATCAATGAAATCGACGTTGATCACAGCTCACCAATCAGAAGTGCTTTATTTTATCAATGTGCTTTTGTTTTTAAAAACCTAAAAATAACGCATCACTAAGGACTCTCAGAGCACGAACTCGTTGTCTGTTCACTCCGTTCTTCCCTTTTATAGTTAAAAAAACAAACAAACCCAACTTTCTTCTCTCTCTCACGACACAATGCTCGGGAGTCATGAGTCATGTGTGAGGTTTTAGGGTTTTCGCCCTTAGTACCTGATTTTATTTTCTTCTTGAATATATATTTGTTTGCTTGTTTGTTTGTTTGTTTTTTTGGGGGGAGGGGGGGTTTAAACCAAATGTGTTTGGCCTGCTGCAGGGCTAGGCTGCAGACCTGCAGGCGCTGCAGCCCAGCTGTCCAGGCCACAGCCCCCAGGGCCCAGCGACTTCAGAGTACATATTTGAATGAAATCAGACAATCCGCAGGTCATCAGTATAGTATGCAATACATGTGCACTTGTGCTGTAGGTTTGGGGTGTGGTGTAGAGGTACATACAGTGAATGTGTATATTAATGACAGCCGCTTCTTCTTACGCTCCGAGCACTCGGGGATACGAGGTTACGCTACCATATTACAATAAGGTATGACGCTGGTTAATCCGCTTGTTCTGGCGAACACATTTGGCTAAGGTCAAAGCAAGGACGCACAGGCAAGTCATCACCGGCACGTATGAACGAAACATCAAATTAAAAAAGAATGTCCGCTTGATTGTTGTATCTTGCACCATTGATTTCAGCACCAGTATATTACTACTAGTATATCAAATATTGACTACAGAGATGTTCACGGTCAAATCTACAAAGTATGCGACTCTTACTCTATATATACAAAGTGGATAAGTAAAAGGATCTAGGTATTTTAGGATGGTCAATACGACTGCACTCAAAAGCATATAACTCAGTGAGAGCGATGTGTGCTGTTTCAGTATATATATATATATATATACATATATATATATATATATATGTGTGTGTGTGTGTGTGTGTGTGTGTGTGTGTAGTATATATATATATATATGTGTGTGTGTTATATTTATATATACATACATGTGTGTCTGTGTGTATACAGCTATACGTATAAGTATATATATATTCAAATGAACATTTACAAATACGTAAATAATATACATCTATTTATATATATATATATATAAATATCCTTGAATATTCATGTATGTATATATATATATATTAGTTTTGTATATATATATATACATAAATGTGTGTGTCTGTGTGTATAAAAGTATATATGTATATATATTGGTCATACTATTCACATATACGTATTGTATATGCAGCTAGTATATATATATATATATATATTCAGATATGCATATATATATATCTATATACAGATATGCATATATCTATATATCTATATACTGATATGTATATATATGTGTATCTATATCTATTTAGATAACTATAAATGTTTACGTATATATACATATGTAAACATATACTTATACATATATATATATATGTACATATGAGTAAATATATTTTGATATAAAAATATATTTATACTTTTTCGGAGATATATATATATATGTGTGTGTGGGTTTTTGATACATTTAACTATTTATATGTACATATTTGTATTGTATATGTAGATAGTATATATATATTTATATACCTATATACAGATATGCATATATATTTATTATAAGCAACTATACATGTTTATGTATATATAGACAGGTATATATTTATATATAACTATATATGTTTTGATATAAAAATATATTCATACATTTTCCGATATATATATATATGTGTGTGTGTTGGGAGGGGTTTTGGGGGTGGGGGTGGGTTGGTTAGTTTTGATATAAGTATACATGTTAAATTAATTATTAATTCATGTTAGATTTATACATATATATATATATATATATGCATTTAAATATATATATACAAATATGTACGTGTGTGTGGGTGTGTATATCTATATCTTAATGTATATGTATATCTATATTTCTATGATTGTAATTGAGTATATATATATGCGTGTGTGTATATATGTATGTATGTGTTTATATAAATTTATTTATATACGTTTATATATATATGTGTGTGTGTGTGATACCTAGTGTTGCAATATGTTTCTGTATTTATTGACGTTTTATTGTTTCCATATTCATAAAGTTTTTGAGTGTCAACATTGCTATTCATGGTTTCATATGAATGCTAATATATTCCGCAAGTTTTTCATGTTAGTTCGTAGAAAACACGATGTAAGGTTAATTAGCATATGAATATGTTGAACTTGGTCATGTGAGTTGTTATGGTTTTGTCACACGATTATTTGACATACAATGTTGAACGGACCTGTTACGGGATAACATACTCAGTGTAAACTTGCCTAGTGTATCTATGTGAAGGCTTATTTATAGCATCATGCATGTTAGAAATATTTACTGTTTATCTCTACTTGTTTTATTCATTGAGCGATTGGACCGATACACAGGAGATGTGTCACGATATCATGAGTGAAGCGCGTACGTAGTACACAGACAGGGAATTGTTCATTTATTGATTCCAGTTTCTCTCTACATGTTTTATTCATAAAGCGGTTGGACCGAAACACGGGAGATGTGACACGGTATCATGAATGAAGCTCGTATATAGTGCACAGACAGAGAATTGTTCATTTATACCTCGTAATTGTGATATATTCTTTATCTAGGCTTCATCATACTGTGTTATACTGTATCTGTAACGTCTCACTTTTAATTAAGCACGAGTTTACATCCGGCTAAGAGAATCTTAGTTGGTCTGTCGAAAATTAATCGCAATTTAAATCTGTCGAATATAACCGAACTTTGCGTTGTACCGAAAGTTGTCAACAATGAGCGTGTGGGATATGCATTCTCAGTTAAGTGGAGCCTGGAAGACTACCAATTGTTGAGTGAGCGACTATTCTGATACATTTGACATGCCATATATCACCAATACAATACTCGGCTTCGGGCTTTTGATTGTTGCAGAAATCTTCCTTGACCAGAGCCGTCAACAGAAAACAAATAAATTCTGCATGTTTTACCATGTATTTGCGTATCTATAGAATAGCCCGTATGGTACCGTCAATTTTTTGCATCGTAGCCAGCAATAAAGAATACAAATAAGTTGTTTCACGTCTGAAAACCTATTCCGCTGTATATCGTGTTATGATACAATGCCCGATAAATCTGATCCGAGTATGCATGTTTCGGTGTTTCAAGAACTTAGCGCGGCATTCATGGCCGACTGCAAGACTTTATAGTGATTCAGTGGTTTGCAATCTACATCTCATGAGCGTGGTATGTGCCCTCACACATAAGACTATCATTGACATATATCGTGCGGGTTGCACTCTTGATATGCTACGAACAGGTTTGAATAGTTTCTTTGAGTATGTTGTATTTAATATATATAACTCATTATTTAACTGAGTTAAGAAGTGTGGCGTTGCAATCTTACATATGGCTTTCCGGATGGACACTCATATCCATGAACATTTCGATAATCTCTTAGCAGTTTGACATTTTGAACTGTGGGAATACTCCGTCAAGGCCGTCGGTATCTTTACTCGAATCAGTATCAAGACCCAGTGCTTTTTTAACATCACCAAGTTGCCCGACAAATCCAACAACTAGAGCGGCAGTTGGCTGTGAAACATCAAAAGCTCCTACAGAAACGAACGCTTCGGAACCCACGTTGATTTGAAAGTGCATGCTGCTTCTTGAGAAAAAGAATATATCTCCCATTTTGACGTGCTCTAATCTCAGCGTATTGTCACCCACTCCGTAAGTGCCAATCACACCTTCGCCCATGACAACCGTTTGAAACTCAGTAGCATCTGAGTGTACGTGAGGTGCAACGGCCCCGCATTCATTGAGACGGAAGGCAACTATACTCATGCCAACCCCGTTGATGTCCGGCCAATTTCCTGGGGCGCCACCGCCTGATGATTTGGGCATGTTGTTATCACCGACTGTGAGTTTCAAGCCTCCTCCGGGACCTGTAAGTTGTGGCTTGTCAGCATGAAGTCGCTATCGAAGGCCTTCTCCGGGGCGACGAATGCGGAGACATCATTTACGGCATAGCTCGTGACCTAGGTACAAATTAGTAGAGCAGCAGCAGAATACTTCATTATTGATAATATTTCGGTAATCAACTCACTAGAGTTCAAACTGGGATGTGTGTAAAAAAAATCAAATTGTTTGATTTGTAGTTGTGATTAAAGTGAGAGCTCTGGATCGAAATTTATACTATTTTCGGGGAATGAATTGCATGTATAGCACATCTGTGATATTATACAAATTAACTGCTAGTTGTTGCTTGGAGAATATCCGAAGGAAAGCGATATGATGTATATCTGCTTTTACGAGATTTGTCCCACACTTTTCTGGGTGACCGTTACACCAACAAATTTCTTTTATGGGTTTCACATGGTAGAAATTGCTCAAGTCTTTAAAAGGAAGTTATTTATTGCTCTATTGCTAGATCTTTGCTACATATTTCAAAACAATTGTATCTCTAAAAAAACAGAGGACAGGATATGCCTGTTATGGGTATGCCTGTTTGATTAATGCAATACACACTCACAATCTTGTAAATATATATAAAATGATAATTTACTGGCCAACAATAGCCTTTATCTAAATAACACCTTTGTTCCTTGACCATTTGAAATACTAATAGTGCTTGATTGTGATCACAAATGAATAGTGATTGTTTTGAAATGTTTTCAGACTTTCAGTGATTGTTTTTTCAACTATTTCGGTTCAACCAATAATATTGCATAGTTTCAACCTCCACTATTTTTTAACCCATAACTTACTCTATCAATAGAGGATTTCTACTCTTTTTTTTTAGAAAACTGGTTCATTTTTGTATCCAATAGTTCATTACATGATATAAAAAAGCTCAAATAACAATATGATATGCACATGCAACAATTATTACAATAATAAGTTCAATCATTCATCATGGGTTCTCTCTATAGGCTATAGAGTATGTGAAGACTAAAGCGAGGGGTTTATTTGGGGTCTTTTATGCATTCCGTTTTTTTTTATGCAATACACTAGAAATTTATACTATATTTTATTTCGGAGCTGATGTCAATTTGCAACCTGAATGGTGTACCGATATGCTACTTACTGATGAATAATTGAATACCCGCAGCGCATAGCACACACCGCTGGTCACTCTTAGTACCCTCCTCCTGTGAGGATTTCTTCGGTGTCAGCGTCTATCATATCGGCGATAGACTTCTGTTTGTAAAAGCTTCGTTTACGATCACTACCTGTTGTGTGCGCAGGGATTTGCTGAGTCGCTGAGCGCATCTCACGGACAAGGCCTTGCCTCAATTCATACTCTGCATGTCTTAACACGCATGCCATATAAATGCCATAATCCTTCTCGTTCAGTACTCGAGCGAGTGCTTTGGTTGTGTATGGATGACTGTCACATCCTTCGCACACACAGTGCACCTGAAGTAATCAACAATATGGTCCGAATGAATTTGTATTCTTGCTCGCGTTCACTTTTACTCTACACAATTCAATACATCAGTGTTCAGAATGTAGTCCTAGCACCTTCGAATTTAGTAGTAACGAAAACAAATATCAAGTTGCTGTCGAAAGCACATAAATGTATACCTCGATTGATTCCGCTTTGGCTTCGCGCTTTGTGGGGCAACTTGCCTGCACGTGTTGTCCGATGCAGTCGCCGCACAGGAAATGACTTGATCTCTTAACGTCGTCGTCTGGCTTCATAATCGGCTGACAAAACAATCCGTCTGACACCGTAACGCGCCTGTATGATGATAATTAGAGTTGTGTTAGAAATCTAAAGTTTTGTGCAAAATATTGAGTACGTCTTTCCTTTGATAAATGTTGTGCCATAAATTCAATCCCTAGTTGAGATCGATGACGTAGGGTTTGTACTTCTTACAGCCTCACATTGTTGGTGTAACTGTCACCCAGAAAAGTGTGCGACAAATCTCGTAAAATCAGATATACATCATACCTCTTTCCTTCGGATACAACTAGCAGTTAATTTGCCTAATATCATAGATTTTGATATGGGTCTGTGTATCTTGTATCATTTTATACACTGTTTTGTTGAATACTCATACGCACTCATTCACGATCATACAGTATTGTATAGTTTGATTGTGCCATCTACACTGTATATTGGACCCCAAAATAAACACACATCCTACAAAAGAGATGACGAGTAGAGTCGACTGTATTATATAGACTTACTTGTCGCACTTATCACATGTGGTGGCTACAACCATGGCATTTTTCATTGCATCGCCAGTACCCGTCTGTGCACTTGCTCTATTTCTCCGCTCTTTCATCTCAGAGAACACGCTCTGCATGTGCACTCTGTTGGCATTCATCGCACACCGATATGTAGTGAACAGATCGCTGAAATAAAAAATTCAGATACAGTTTATGCACTTAAATTAAAGTTAGCGAGCCTAAATAAAAGGTATTACGGTAGAGTGAAATTTCTCATACAATGTGTACATTATTATGGAAGTGTACGGTCCAACACATATGGTACGCAATTCCACTCCGTACTTCATCGAATAGTCAAATTCAGTGAAACAATCACTCACCGTTCGAGTTTCTGTGAAGCGATGTCAACCGCTCTCTTCTTGCCCAACTCCACAGCTTCATTAGATCTCTCAAGAGCATCATCCAAATCCTCTTCAATTGAAGAATCATAAGAATCACTGAGGCTTTCATCGGATATTGCACAGTCGTGCACTGTATCTACCGAGGTGTCGATCACACCGTGAATTCCTTTCACATAACCATCAATATGACCGAAATATTCTTCAGCACTACTGTTGTTTTCCACATCATCTCTGACTTGATCGCGATTTTGACTGCTGGGTGCATTTAACTCCATGCATGGAAGGTCCTCTAAGATTATACTGTTTGATCTGTTTGAGGGGAACACGTACCCTAACAGATCTTCGTCCACGGCTCCCAGTTGGTCGTGGCTTTCATTCAAAAACACACGAGTCTCTGAATGGGCAATTCAGGAACAGTAATTGAGACAGATGCATACAAGTGTAAAATTTGACTATGTCAGTACTATTGAACAACATACGGACAACATCATATTTGACTATCTATATTATGATTTATGGAAGACTATACAATATTAAGTAAAATAAATAAAACGTATATAAGCTAAAATGTACAATAGTTATTTACGTATGAACTCTGCATATAATTGAACACAAAAAGTATACATGTCGTTAAACTACACTACCTGTGATGTTGACCATTTGGCTTAGAAGTTGTACCATGTCGTCCTCTAAGTTCTCAATTTTGTCGTCCTTTTCACTGCATTCACTTGCAATACGTGCAGCTACACTTCTCAGTACGTGACATTCATTTTCCAGCTCATCTATGTACGCCAATTTGTCGTTATACATCTGTGATCAATATACGGGATTACCTTACATTTGTGTGTGTATTGTTTTGTAAGCAGGGATTAAATGCCTATTCTATCGTTTGTAGCATTGTTTCTTTTCTTCTTGTACATAGCATGTATATTAACTCGGAAAATGTCAATTTGCCTTGAAATCACATATAAAACCGATATTTGCAATGTAGCAATATATATTATGATAATACGCTCTTTTTCCAAAATAACAGCGCGGAAATTGGACTATTAAATTGTAATATTGTGAAAATGTACCTGTGAGGTCTTAGTCACATGCGTCATCAGTTCCTTATTCGTTTTGCTGAGTTGCCTAATTGTTTCTAGTCGAGCTAAATCTAGAGCCCTGTGTTCAATCACTTTCACCACTTGATTGTGACCTTCCTTTTTAGCCACATCTAGCGCTGTGTTATCATCCTGTAAATGTGCGCAACCCATCGGGTATAAATGACATGTAGTTGTTACGAAATGTGGAAAAATGCACCGATTTTAAATAATCAGTATACACGCGGTTCACAATAACGGACATACATACGAAGGACCACCTATAACAAATGGTATATTAAAGGTTTAATTCATGTAAATTGTGATCGTATTCACAAACGACTTGCAAGTAATTACATGAAAAGAACGAAACTGTAGTACCTTGTTTAAAATGTCGATGCGAGCGCTGGCATCAACTAATAAACGAACGGCATCGAGATTTCCAGCTTGTGATGCATAGTGCAGTGCTGTCAAGCCTTCCTGTGGAGTACCGAATATTTGTTCGTAAACAATCAGTCCTGTGTGTATATAAATTGGTTCAAAAATCACCATAATCTGTTCCTGGGCGTTGAAACGGCAAATATACGAAGAAAATATTCTATTACGTCTAATACGACTAGCTACTTGAGCACATACTTTTGAAAGAATATCGACGTCAGCGTTTTGGTCAAGGAGAAATATAATCAATGACGAGTATCCGTTTTGTGATCCTAAATGCAGTGCAGTCTTGCCCTCCTGATGTGTGAAGAATGATTTAAAATTAGTACCTGATGAAGCAACATGCGAAAATGTCGTTTTACTTTTGATGCATATACGGCTTGAATTTTGAGATAGGCTCGCTGATTATTTGGTACGTACACACGTAGCTTGTTTGAATAGTTATGTTTCAAATCTCAAGCGTGCATTCGATATAAAGAAACCTCTTTTTCCATATTTTCTCAAGTATGCCAACCTAATTGATGACTGTGCAATAATTTACTTTTAATCATACGTAATCCCTAAATCACTTTCATACACAAGCAGTACTTTGTGAGGCAATATTGTCATCTAGTACAAGCTGTTAAATAGTACACATTACTACATACAGAATATTTTGTGTCGATATGATCTCCTAGTGCAAGTCGCCATTTGATCCAAAGCCAATTGCTGTTTTCCGCTACAGGCTGCACGGCTGCAGACGCGGCCGTTTGAATCCCTGATATGATCATCTCTATTCCTCAATAGCTACTCAGTATAATAATGGATGGCGCAAGTGTCCTAATAAATCCTTATACATTGATACTTTTTTTTTGCAGACATATCTAGGATTTTAGGTATGTTAAGCATTCGGCGTCGACTGATTACCATTGGGCCACAGTCAGCCGCATTTGCTTAGCTTCTAAAATCCATTTATTTAATTTTCGATCTAATCTGTCGAACACTGATGGCGCCTGATAAGCGGAACAGTGGACACGCGGTTCGTTGGTGAAGTGGCGACGTTCTATTCCTTTGTGTTTTTATTGTAATTAAATACCATCAGCGTTTCAAACTAATTTCTATTTTTTTAATTGTTATTGTGTTTTGTTTTGTTTTTTGTTTTTTTTGAAGTACAAGAAAACTTCACCCAGCAGATTGTGAAGAAATTAAAAACACCTTAATTTCAATAATGAATGTTTGTCGTTTTAAATATATTTTACGAAAAGTTATGTTTCTTATGTAAAGTTTGTAATAGGGTTGATTTTTGGCGGGCTCCCGGTGAACCAAATGTTCCCGTTTACAAGAATGTCACACGAAAGAACTTCTTTATTTCAATACATATCTCTATACATAGCTAAATATTTATTTGTTAGTTAGCTACACAAAGCTCACGTACACGATAACTACGTTCATACTTGCATCATACTTACATCATACAATTATGCCATGTTTGCATGATATTTGTGCATAAACACGCGACTACATGAGTACGTATTAGCGAGATAGTTGCGGAGCGTAGCGTACCTTTATCAGGATATGATCAGTTGCGTAAGTAGCTTCAGTTTCATTCGGTCAGTCGAGGAAGTAGTGGCTTTGTGAAAGTGTATGTCTATCCGTAATTGCACAACACAGAACCTCATACCAATACTGTTATGTATCCACCTGCATATGAATACACTCTTTGCTTAATATGAAAAGTTGCATCTTTTAGTTGTTCATACAGTTCATCACATGGTAGCGTGATCCTGGCCGAAGCCTTTGGGCGGTAAATGGCCTACATGCCGTTCGAAAGCTCATTAGAGATCTTAGAGAGGGATCTCAAAGCTTATATGCGCTGCGATACCGGAGCAAGTGAGAAAGAAACCAATAAAGATGGACAGCGAAAGCGTACACAAACAGATAAGGTTGTTGAACATGAGAGTAGAAAGGGTAGTAGTACAAGTAAGCGCAGGCGGAAGAATGGTACGACTAGTGTGACTGTGGACACTAAGGCGGGCAATGTGAAGCGGCGACGCCCTGAAGAAAGAACAAGTGGGGTAGGTATCTGGTTTATGCATGCAATGTCTCTGTTTGTTGCTTGTGCGGCGGAGGATGTTGTATGAATGACACAGGCTTGGTTGTGCCGCGTTTACTTTGTATGTGTATAACATGCGAACGATATCTTTCGGTATATTTAAGGTGCAATTTTCCGCAAGTAGGGGCATATTGTGCAAGTAGGTTGTGGGTGTGTAAAGCATCCCTGAAAAATTCGCGTTTTTAATAGAATCTGTAATTCATTAAAGAGTTTCATGCCAAGCAGCTGTCCGGAAAATTGTACACAAATATTGAATGCGTTTAGCCCCTCAGAGTCTAAACGTTGCATTGCCAACGTATGCTTGGGAATTGATTTGATACGCTGCGCCAGTTCACGTGCGGTGACAGCTGTTTATAAGCTTCATTGGGCCGTGTTTCAATGATGCGTTTAATTTTCTTCAGGTGTTGGAGTTAATATTCCCTTGTTCGACTCGTAGCAGATGTTTCATTCGAAATGCTGACCCTGTTTGTGCACTATTGTCAACGAGCTCAAATTTGGCTAATCACAGTAGACGGGCAAGCTATCCAACAAGGATAGATTGCTATTGATTGTGCACTGAATCAAACGTCGATTGCGAAGTTTTGATATCGTCCATCTACGATTTCCAGTTGAACTTTGTGAATCAACTTTCTGCAATTTTAACGATTGTTACGGCTACTTGATCTATATGCATCAAAACACCCATGGTCGAATCATACATACTAAAAATTATACTGAGCTTTAAACTTCTCTTCGCTTATTCATGTGCTAGCCTCTCAAATCACAGGATTGCTACATGAGATAGATAGAGTAAGATATTTGCTGGCTATTTGGATATCTGCATAAACATCACGCCTGTCTTAGTACATCAGGGTGATGATCGTTTGTTTCTGTGTGAGACATGTACTGTACGCATTGGACATTGATCTACTGAAGAAAACTCGTTTTCGACAGCAATTAATTCAGTACATATCTGTATTGCACCTCTGCGTGCTGCTGGCTAAATATCATGGTGAGGTATTGTACACCGTAAAGCAATAGTTAACTATGATTCTAGACCTATATCGTTAAATTGGATGCATAATACTGATTCAGACTCTGGGGATCTTCAACAAGGGACTCCGTGCTCCATTTGTGTCACGGATTAAAGGTATAATCGAACATATTATGCCACGATGTGCAAAGCAAGCTGTCTGTGCGACATATCTGCTGCTATTTTATCACGTCCTGTGTCTTGTGGGTATTTTTATCCATATGATTTTCAATATTTAATCTTCAAGTTGACGTACCAGTGTTGCAAGTGATCGTTGTAGCAATGTATGCTGCTTCGTTCTGGATGATCAATTACCGGCCCCGTATCTAATTGCCAGCAAAACTGTCAGTTGTATACAAATGTTAGGTTTAAGCGAACATTCTGCTGTGTACAGAAAAGGTTATAGCTATGCTTTGGTACTATTAGTAGTCATAAATGGTTCACTCACTGCCATAAGCTGGAAATATAGCACAACTGAACCAATCACCGCCAGTTGTGTTTCGGATGACTGTCATGTGCCTTCGTATGCACGCATAGCATGGAATTTCTGAGATCAATCGCCAAAAGAATAATACACCTTGTGAAAATTACAAAGCCCGCTTGGAGGCTTCATACAGCCGCACTGCATAAATGAGACGGTCTTGTGAAGGAGCAGGAGTGTGTTCAAACTGCAATGTTTGAAAGTGATTAAACTCTGAAAACAAACAGGTGGGGAATCGAGATCGCTCAGAGATGCGTTCAGCGAAGCACAATTCTATCACAGGGTAGGTGGCATGGATGTGTATTCAGCCGAATGAGGGGCCATGAGAACCACATACTCGAATGTAATCACATACTTTATTTGCAACATCTATTCAATGTAGTAGTATTTGGTATTTCCGATTTTACTTGAAACTGAACACCTGTCGAGGTTCATCCCTAAGCCACCACTGGGTTAAGCTCGTCATGATGGACACACGCGTAATGTCTCGACTCGACGCTGCTATGTTGCACTGCGAGAGCTTGTCAGCGCATGTGGTACGCTATTTTGGTCCGCCCGTTATATTCATCATCATGCAATATAATGCTACTACTCAACCAAAGTTCTTGTCTCGCTTCATTCAAGGACAAGACACGCTATGCCAAACCGACACAGCATGTACACCGTCACACTGCCAAGCACAAACCGCCGATTAGACGAGAGTCACGGCACAACCCTAAGTGTATCGTCAGCCCCGAATCTAGCCATTCATCCGCATCCATCGACTCGGGGAACGGTATTTTTTACAAGCACAAGTATTGACGTAGCAAATTGATACACACACACTACGAGATTTTGCGTTTTGGACTACTTTAGCTTCATTGCATGTGCTAAATAACTGTTTGCGGTCTAAATCCTTCGAATGCGGTGCTGGGTAAATCATGAACGTCGGGAGCTATAACATTTGATGGTTGTGAATTGTAATTCAATGCTGTTGATGTGACACGTACATCCACTACTTGTACACTCAATATGGTATGTCAGCCGAAATGATGTTTCGCGTCAGGCCTCATCGCCACAAGTAGATGCCTGTATGGCGTAGAGTTATTTCATGAACATTAGAGGATAATATGGGTGGAGTTTCATGATGAACGGTGTTGATAGTTCTATATGATATGTTATTCCTGTGACACAGATGCGGCTAATATTTGTAAACATGAGAGCACCAGGACGAATGCCACGCAGACATCCCAATACTCCACAACCATGAAAGGGAAGCGCCGGGATAGTCCAGTAGTATCTACACCTTCGGAATATGACGATGACGAAAAACCAGAGAAAAATCTGACATTTGGTAGGTAATATACCGGCGGGTTTCAATGGATTTTGATGTCACGGCCTTTATTTGAATCATGAATGTTATTTAGTCGCATTATCGCAACGGGCAATACAATAAAAGCGATAGGTTTGCCAGATGAAAGTAAAAACTTGACCTCGGGCAAAACAACGCAACAATCCACGACCAAGGGGGTCAGGCATCAACATCGGACATCCGCACATTCACCTCCGTTGAACAAGGAAAAACAGCATAAACCTAAACTCATGCATGGCAAGTGCTTTTTTATGTGTAAGTTTCGATTTGTATCGCTTTCGTATACTGATCACTGGAAGGTATGTAACTTACGGTGTAGTCGTGTGGACCTTAATGACGATATTTTGTTTCTTCTTTCTTTTAGGTATAGCGTTAGTATCGGAGACTCGATGACCACCAAGTCATTGCGCGTAGGTCTATTTCCGAAGTATGCTACTGTGAGTCTTTAACTTTGCGTTTTTTACTATTTGGTTTTTCCATTCTATTACAGCCGTCCCCCAGGCACGCGTACAACAAGCCGGCTTCACCCCTTCGCCTATCCCTGTGCCAAGCGAGGCCGAGATGCACACGGCTGTTCTCCGCGAGATTAAAAGGGTTGCTGCGTTGTGGAAAGGTAGCATGCATGTATTGATAAGCGCATATTAGAAGTATGGATGTCGGAGAGAGTGGGGGATTGCAGAAGTAGGTATATGTGTTGAGGATGCACATGAAGATTAACTGATTGAGTTGTGGTCGCAGCCCGTCTCATGAAAAGTGAGTACCGAGTTTAGCTGGTTCTATATGCTCGCGTTGCACCTTTGCAACGGGCCCAGGCGTAAGTTTTCTGGGACGATCCATATTTTCGCGTGTACAAATAACGTAATTGAACCACGATTATTTGTGGTACACTCAATACGGCTGCAGCAGTTGTTCTCCTTTGTCTTCTGTCAACTTGCTATCTTGACATCTCGAAGCGCGGATTTTTGAAAAATATTGATTCTTAGTTTTTTGGTTATATTATAGTTATCAATCCGAGATGTGACTATGTCTCAACACGGATCAAGCGCATAAGCGAACAAATAGACACTAGGTATGTACGTTAACTTCTTCAGAGCGTTGATTTTTAGGGCCATACAGAAGCAGATATGCCATACACTTACGGCTCTTCAAAACTCATATGTATAGAGTGATATGTAGGATGGTAAGCTTCTTTCTGGATATTTTCCCGTATGTGGCAATCATTTCTAGCACTCAGGATCCATTTGTGAGCTACCACCTGAGGTAAACTTACCATAAGGATCGCATGTATGTAACTGTACTCTCCGCAATACATCCAACACAGTGTGCTACTCAGAGAGCCCATGTCAAGCCAGACAGTGCACAACCGAGAAAAAAATTCGAGCAATCGGCACAACCGACACAACGACGATATAGAATGTCATGCACACGACACGGGAAGCATCCAACACAACACCGGGGGACTACTGCTCACCACTCTGGGCTCATCAGCGGGAACTCGTACACACACACATACGCACGGGCACGGACCAGTGTCTGATGTTGCAAATATCCACACTCATCAAGATGATCAAAGTTCACACGGACACAGTCATAAGGTGTATGGCCCAGTATCGCATTTGCCGCAATATAGCATAGCACGGTTAGTGACGAATGCCCAGAACACAGGAGGACGCACACATGGAAGTAGACAATATACACATGCGCATTCACTTGGTCAATACAAACTAGTGGTTGGAAACAACCAGTACCAGCAGCCAAGCAAGGACTCCATCTCAGCTTACAAGCACACAAGCAAGGACATCTTTCAAGAGATGTGTGTGTCTAATCAGCCTCGTATGCACGAAGGCAAAATTGGCGAGACAACACGTGACCGGCATACCATACATCCTATGCATAGTCTGCGTCCTGGTGTGTCTGCACCGAGTCAAGCACGTGCACACCAGGCAGACATATCAATCAATGGAGAGGTGTCCGGCAGCACAGAGCGCCCTGCATACACTTTTAAAAATGCGAATGACTATGGACGTAGTGGCACGCTCGGAATGGACAGTTTGCAGATGCCTCTAGATATGCAACAGCTTGAAAGGGGCAGTTTATACCAGGAGCGGCGATGGGATCACAGCCCACAGCGCACATCTCATAGATTGAACGAATGTGGGTATGTGACTGTGCGAAAACGCTCAAGTGTAGGCGGACCCAATTATTGCGTGAGAATAACCCTGGATCAAGGAAAATATAAGCAATAAGCACCATACCATTTTTTGTTGAATATGTGAACTTTAATAGTCGCATTGATATTGAGCGTTTCATATACATGATTGACCGGCTTCTCTACTTCTACCTTTGGGGTGCTCGACAGGCTACCATCACATGAGACGTCCATGAACAATTTGCTGGTCCCAATCACCCGTAACGAAAAGTATGATGCGCATGTGCCCACTATTATTGCTATTGTATGGCGATCCTCTTTGTTTAATCGTGAAAGCTATGTACATGCATTAGGCACATTTGATCACTAAACTGAGTAGGTCATAGGGATGCGATCGCTATAGCATCTTTCACGCAGCACCCGCCATTCAGCAGATTTACCTGGTGAATCACCACAACAGATTACCGATCACACCATGTGAATGACGCAACGTCCATATAGTATTGTCCTCGTTACTACGTACAAATTTCTATTTATAGTATAGTACCGCCCGTTATGGTATTTTTTCACAGATTGTGATCTTTGCGAGACTTGTACAGGGCCATGTATTTAGTACACGTAGATATCAGACCCGTCACCAGTTCACTGCAGGCTGCTACACGTTCTCACAGCCGTTCTATATAGCTAGATCACTGTGAAGTATTCATGTGTTCAAACTGCACGCACATACTTACATGCAACACACTTGAGCCCGCTCACGCACAAGCGTGGAAGAATGTCGTATGCACTATTTGTTTCGGGGATCCCCAAAGAGGTCCACAGAGGTGCTACATGACAACGAATAGATACAAACTGACAGTACCACTCTCGACTATAATAGAGGCCCACCGGATGATTTTGATCGACTGCTCACGGAGGATTTCGACTCTGTGGCTGAGAATGGACAACCTCACAGTAGACACCAAGTAGACAAGCATCAGAAGCATCAGGTAGGCAGGGGAGATACGCAATGTCTTGTAAATGAACTTTTTTTTAATATACGTTCCATATCCGGATTGTGACAAGTGACCCCGAGGAAGAAACGACATGCGGCTCCAAATGCTTATGTACTCGATTGGAGTTTCCGCTGCTCATATGTGCGAGTCACAACGCAAAAAAAACGTTAAAGATGAATACTTTTGATATCCTACACATATCTCAGCATTTGGAAGGAGCTCCAAATGCAGTCACACTCGGACTAGGCACCCTGAATTTTAAATCCGCACACGAGGAACGTTTGAGGTATGCAGGCGGCGCAATCTTCTTTGAATTATTCTCAAATGTCGCGTTATGCAGACTGGCACCTCTACACCTCATATCTCCCATGCACACATTCGATCACACCTCGATGCAACGCATACATTGGTATATGCACTATCATGATGGAGAATACAAGGCACAAGTGATTTTTAGTACAAGATCAACATAGACTCTAAATATCTGCATGCTGCTTTCACTCACGTGACGCTTCAAGTTCAAGGCACGCGAATCGTATTTGAGCAAATACACACCCCTGCCCCTTTAGACATGGTTTAGTCCATGGCAACGACATCGTTCTCGATGGATTTGTAGGGCCTACAATGTATCCATGAGTACAGTATATTATGGGAGCAATACTGACTTCACCCGTTGTGGAGAATAATGCTCATAGCAGTTATTTCGGAAAATCATACATATTTTGCAATAGACGGCACTCTCAGTACTCGGTACCGCAAATCAAACAACCAAGTGTACGCGTACCAAAAATCGTTCATATGCATATATATATATATAAATATATATATACTCACACACACATATATATATATATTTATATATATATATATATATATACATACATACATACACACACACACATATATATATATATATATATATAATATATATATATATATATGTTTGTGTGTGTGTGTGTGTGTGCACGTGATTGTGTGTATGTTTATATGAATATGTATGTGTTTGAATATAAGTGCGTATAGGTGTATGCATGTGGGTATCTATGCATATATGTATTTATGTATGTATATAT